GAGGACATTCACCTAATGGGAGATCTGGAGTCAGAATCTTTCTGATGTGTGACTTGGCACAGTAACACAATGCAGGATGCTGGTGTGTTAATACAAGTAAAAATTGCATCTGCCTACCTCAGAGTCGACAACAAGGTCAAGGAGTTAATATGAGTACATCTGAAAATGTTACTAATCATGATGATGATATCCATGTCTTTTATTTGCAAGTTCCATTTGTTTTTGACTGAAATAGTAACTCCTGAGTGGGGCTAGAAGTCAAGCATTCAACAAATTTGCTCTTTGAGGGGTTCTAGTTTCACTTCCCCATTCATGGGCAACCATAAACCACATACAGGAACCTTCCATCTGCTTTTTCATACCTGCTTTCTCTCTTCCTGTTTTCTCCTTGCCTTTTCTCTCCCCGGCTTTTCTCCAGTGTGACCTTGTGCAAATCACTTTCCTTTCACGGGCCTCAATGTTATTTGAAAAATGAACAGACTGTACTAGACGACTTGTGAGTTCCTTTCCTTCCCTGAGATTCCATGATGACCTTACATATGGTTTCTTTATTATTTTCTCTTATTCTCAATAACACAAGAACTGTAGTCATACTGTGGGAACCTGATATGGTTTGAATGTGTGTTCCCCCAAATCTCATGTTGATCGGTGATTCCCAGTGTTGGTGGTGGAGACTGGTGGGCAATGATTAGATCATTCATCAGGGTGGATCGCTTCTGAATGGCTTAGCACCATCCCTTTGGTGATAACTGAGTTGTTGCTCTGAGTTCAAGCAAGATCTGGTTGTTTAAGAGCATGGAACGCCTCCCTGCTGACTCCACACTGCTTTTGCCATGTGATGCACCCGCACCCCCTTCACCTTCCACCATGATTTTAAACTTCTGGGGGTCCTCACCAGAAACAGATGCTGGCACCATGCTTCCTATACAGCCTGCAGAACCATGAACCAATTAAATCTCTTTTGTTTATACATTACCCAGCCTCAGGTATCCCTTTATAGCAACACAAACAGATTAGCACAGAGCCCAGTAATTTATTCCTTACAGAGATGTCTAGAACAGTGTACTTTCAAACGAATGTGGTAGCCTCCCTAGTTCATTCTGTCCAGGCCACCACTAAAGCATTGGGATCTGTTCAGCATTCCTAACTGAAGAGTGACAGTTTCCAGTCCAAGAAATTTACAGGAGAGGAGTAGTAGGAACTCCAAATCACATCACAACCATGCTGGTTCAAATACAGATGTGTTGGTTGTTAAAACACTTAACTCCTTCTTTACTGGTTGGTAAATAGTCACTGCTTCAAAAATCCAGGGTGATACCTCATTGTGATCACGTCATGTTCACCCCATTTGTGAGGGAGAGATTCCCCACCCTACATAGAATGAGATGGCTGAACATGATACCCAACAATGGACAGATGAGATTAACAGCAGTTTAGTAGTCACATTTACTCACAGCCCACAGGAGGAGGATGCCAAATTCCTTGCAGGGCCACACGGAGATTGCACTTGGGAATAGAGTGAGCAAGCAGAGGCTGTGGAAGGCAGACTCTGTAGTAACAAGAAGGTGAGGTGCCCCCTGATTCCCATTGGAGGAAGTAGTTGGTTTGTCTGAATACTTCTGTAGGCTTGCAGGGAACTAAAGCTCACTAGGTTGAAGCCCACATGGTGTGCAGCTGGTCTACCCGAGAGGTGAGTGAAGGGGTATATGTTACAAGAACAGAAGAATTCACAGTTTGGCTATTTTGGGTCCGGTGAAGCTAAAACATGTCAAGGCAGCACGTGAAATTTTAGGCCTTGTAATAAACATGACCACTCACTTCCCAGCCCTGTACCCAGCTTGCATCTGGATTGCCCCAAGATCCAGCAACAAATGCATTCATGTGTGGTACAGCAGAAACCTCCAGTCCCTGATCCAGCACAAAGGCTACTTGCTGTCCTTCTGATTTGGTCATGCACATGCTTTACCAGCTGTTACATATTTTGAATATCATCCTGGCCACAGCCATTAACACATGGTAGAGCACTTTGACTCAGACCTTTTTTCTTTCCTCCTCCTTGTTCAAAGCTCCCAGGATTTTTATTCTTCCTGTTGACTGTACAACTGGAATGGCCTGAAAAAATCCTTATCTCCCTCATCCCTTCTTTACAACCTTGTTCCATCCAGTTGGAACTAGAAAGAAGGAGAATGAACTAACTCACATTGAGTTGCTGGTTATTCACTCTTTCCAGGAATATTTGTGTTTTAAGAATAGACTCTGCTTTACTTTAAAGGAATTGTGTTTTAAAGAATAGACTCTGCTTTAAAGGCAAGCCATGAACCTGCAAGCCAAACCTAGCCCACACCTGTTTATGCACAATTCTCAAGCAAAGAATGATGTTTATATTTTAAATGTTAAAAAAGAAAACAAGAAAGAACATGCAATGAAGACGATATGTGGCCTGTTAAGACTAAAATATTTACTATTTGGATCTTTATAGAAAAAGTTTTCTGGCTCCTCACTTAAGGCAAAGATTATCTAACAGTAGAAATGAGGACATTAATAACAGGCTAGGACACTGATTTTGGAGCAGGGGTTCTCATCTGGTTTACATGGAAATGCTAAAATCAGAGAGATAAACAGAGAATAAAACTAGATTAGAAAGCTGAAGTCCATAATGCTGAAAAGGCTATTGGCAAGAGAGTGTTCAGGACCAAAGAGCTGAAAACAGATGTAGTGAGGCATAAGAATGTTAGGGCAGAAAAGGCCATTCTGGAAGGGTTGCCAAATCCATCCTTCTGATATATATTGTTTTTTTAAGGGCCCAGGAGCTGGGGAGTCTTCAAAAAACAAGGGTGGACATAGATGGAATGTGCAACAGTGAATTAAAACCATGTAAAACTGACCTACCTGAGGACATAATTTTTTGTTCTCTTCTTACCCTCATATGCTGGTACAAAGAAGAGGACTGGAGGGTTTGAATGGTGTCTTCCAAACAAGACATTCATGTCTTTGAAATATTAAATGCTAATAAAATTGGCACTTGATATGGCCTGGAATTGAGATAAAGAAAATGGGCAGGCCGGGAGCAGTGGCTCACACCTATAATTCCAGCACTTTGGGAGGCCAAGGCAGGCGGATCTTGAGGTCAAGAGAGCAAGACCATCCTGGCCAACATGGTGAAACTGTGTCTCTACTAAAAATACAAAAACTAGCTGGGCATGATGGCGCGTGCCTGTAATCCCAGCTACTCGGGAGGCTGAGGCAGGAGAATCACTCGAACCAGGGAGTTGGAGGTTGCAGTGAGCTGAGATTGCACCACTGTACTCCAGTCTGGGGACAGAGCGAGACTCTGTCTAAAAAAAAAAAAAAAAAAAGAAAGAAAATAGATTAAAGTAACATGAGTAAGAACATTTTTCATAGAAAGGATTGGAAAGGTGAGAATGAGTTTCTGAAGGAGTAAGTGGAGTTTCTCTTCCTGGAGCCACCTTATGGGAGCCTGTTGTGCCCAGGAGTAAGGCCTTCCTGGCACCTGTGAATCCAACTTGTTTGGATTCACACTTGTTTGGAATCCATTTCTGCCTCCTGGAACCCCAAGAGAGTCCTGGAGGCAGGCTTCTGCCAAGTGTCATGGCCTGGCATTTCCACTACGTGCTTGCATGCGTCTTTGTTTCGAAGGGAGGTTTGGTGGGTGGGGTGCTCTAGTCTGGGAGACAGTGGGTGGTAAGAGTTTCCAGGAGGACAGAGACAGACTGATTGGCCCAGCTAGTTAGGGCGCATGGTGTTAATGAGATCAGGTCATATCCTGGTCTCCCACCACACCCAGCCAGCAGTCTCCTTTCAGGGGTCACAAATTTCACTCTTCCCCAGAAGGGAAGAGCCAAGGGAGAGGGTGGGGATAACTCCCTGCAAAACCATCTTCTCTGCTGAAAGAAGAATCCTGCTGGTGGAGGGTTCTTGTCACCTTCCTTACATATATCATCTCTCATTCATTTGGGACATGAACACATAGGACACTGCATCCATTAATTTCAGCTGGTTACAACCTGCCCCAAAAACTGATGGCTTAAATCAATAACTATTTATTTAATTGGCAATTCTTTGAGTCAGTTGAGCAGTTCTTCTGGTTTAGGACATCTCAACTGATCATTCCCCCACTTGCTTATGTATTTGCAGACAGCTGGAGAGTCTGCAGGGGGCTGGATGACTGAAGATGGTCCCACTCACACAGTCTAGCAATTGCTTAGCTGCCAATCAGGGCAATGTGGGACATAGGACTTTGTATCTCTTATTCTCCAGTAGGCTAGCTTAAGTTTCTTCCCATGCCCTGGTGGTAGAGGACCTAAGGACAGCAAGAGAAGACCTGCATATTGGCCTCTAAAAGTTACAAAAATAGGCCAGCTGCGGTGGCTCACGCCTGTAATTCCAGCACTTTGGGAGGCCGAGGCAGGCGGATCATGAGGTCAAGAGATGGAGATCACCCTGGCCAACATGGTGAAATCCTATCTCTACTAAAAATACAAAAATTAGCTGGGCGTAGTGGTAGGCGCCTGTAGTCCCAGCTACTCAGGAGGCTGAGGCAGGAGAATTGCTTGAACCTGGGAGTTGGAGGTTGCAGTGAGCTAAGTTTGCACCACTGTACTCCAGCCTGGCAACAGAGTGAGACTCCATGTCAGAAAAAAAAAAAACAAAAAAAAAAAACTTACAAAAATATTGGCTTAGACTTATTCTAGAAATGGAAGTGATAAGACAGTATTAATACATTTTACATGAATGGTGGTTATTTTAATGCAGATGCTATACTCAGTGCTTTACACATATTATGTCATTTAATGAGGTAGGCTGTAAGCACCTGGTTCAAATTCACTCTGCTATAAAGTGGCAGAGACAATATTCAAACTCCAAACTTAAACCACTATCATACACAATCACAACTCATAAATTTTAGGAACGGCATGCCTGTTCCAACCATGCCGCCATTGTTCAAAACTCCACCTAAATTCCTGTTGTCAAATCTACAGATTCTTGGCAACACAGAGGCCACTGGAGAGAGGCATAACCTTGCGTGGCAGCTGCACTGGAAATGGATTTGTCTCAGATGTTTCAGATGACTAAGGTGAGTGATCAAGCTGGATATTTTTGCATGACAACCAAAGTGTGATGAGAAAGAAAGAAGATTCAGTTGGGTAGATGGTAAAGTTTTGTGTACCGTTTCATCTTTTTAGTATTGGAATTGGGATTTTTAGCTCTTATTCATAGTGTCAATGCTGCTTAGTCTTTCTGAGACATCAGGCAAATTCTCTTTTTCCATGTTTCAGATTTCTCCTTTGTATAATAAGGGGCTTAGATTCTGTGGTTTCTAAAAGACCCTTCCAGTTCTAGAAATCTCTGATCCTATGATATATTACCCCTTAGAAATGATTAGTTTAACTAAAAAGCATGTAAATTTCTTATCTTCAAAAGAAAGACATGCCTTTGCCACTACCCCCACTCTCCCACTTTGTGACATGGAGGAGATTGAGAAGATGCTGTTTAGTGACAGACCAGATTCCTTTGGAGACCAGGGAGTGGGGGGAGTACAAATATCATATTCAGGACAGGAATTCAGACTTGAATGCTGCAAGTCTTGCCTCTCAACTCTCCATGCTCTATCAATATTATTATTTATCCACTGACTTTCCTGAGCAGGAAAGAGATCAGGGCAAGTAGCATATAATATCCTTCTTATTCCCATGCAGATGTCTGAGGCTTCTTTCCCCTTTCGTCCAATCTGATTTGTATGTCTTCTTGGTTAATACCCCCAGAGTGCTCTAGGCTGCTTTCTGCCTAAATATCACATAAATCAAAGTGTGTCATCTTGCAGCGGTGAGGAGAGGTGGAGAATCAGCCAGGAGCAAGATGCTAAGGACAGACTGAGCCACCCCATTTCCCTACTTCCCAGACCTTGTTCTTTCCCTCCTGCAAAGCCTTAGGAAGGCCTCATGGGGGGAGCTTGAACTCATTCCCACCCACTCCTGATGGTTCCAGCTACTCAACCTTTTACCAAATGGCTCTGCACAGCTGTTTCTAGTTACGTGTCTATTTACTTTGTTGGTGTACGTGTGCTTGTGTACCATGTGTGCATCTTATCCCCTCAGTTCCCCAGCTACCCAAGGCCTCCAGTGAATCCACATGAGGTCATTTAGAATCCCGAGTGGAAACAATCACAAAGCAACATAATGTTCAAATTCAGGAAGCATTTACAAAGGTTGTATGCATCTTCTCTGTCATTCATAAAGGCAAGGGAAGTTAGAATTCAGGAAATAAGATGCAAAGACTCATGAATGTCTTCAGATTCCAAAAGAGTAAACTTTACTACTGGAGTAAAACTAGGTTGTAATCCTCTTGAAACAGACACTTTTTCCTTTTTTAATCACCTAGATGACAAATGTAAGACTTATCCCTGACTTCATCCATTCATTTGTTCATTCATTAATTCAACAAACATTTATTGAGTTTCTCCATGTGCACTGGACTGCTCAAAGCTCTATAGGAGATACAGTAATGTGCTTTGCTGCCTCTGAATGGAGCAGGGTCCCTCCCAGCCTATGGGCATGGCTAAATTTTAAAAGGATTCTTCTGCTTGTCTTCAACTTCAAAGGTCAGTCTGAACATGGAGTGAAATCACCAGTGTCCCTGGCAGGGAGAGACCTTGTTCCACACCCAACACATCATCCTAATAGTAGGCTTTTGACACAGTCCTATTAAATAATGAACCATGTCTCTGTCTAATTTTATATAATCAGTGCTCCAAAATTCAGAAACTTTGCCTCTCAGAGGTCGATCAGCAAGCTCAGTGAGTTCCTACAAACCAGCTTGTAAGGAATTCCGGTCTGGAGGCATGCTCCCCATTCTGCCTGCCATGATTGCCAAATGGTGGCTTTTCTAATTTTTTCATTCCTTTCTGCATTTATTAATTGACTTTCTAATATAAGGAAGAGCATTCTTTTCCTTCTACTCATTTAGTTAAATCAGAAAAATCTGATTGAATTTAATAGGCTGTAATCCTTTACTATTACAAATTTATTTTGATGTCTACAATGTCTCAGAGTTGGCCAGTAGAAGAGCCCACAATTTGGCTTCTGTATCCTTTGGAAATGTCTCCATCATTCTTTGGGAACATTCTTAATTTCTGAAAAAATATATACATATTTCAGGTTCATCTTTTACTTTCTCTCCCTTAGCCACAGAATCAGTCATTTTTTTTTTCAAAGGGCCCTAATTCCTTTTAGTAGAGAATAATATTTAAAAACCAAGATCAGGAAGCCAGGTGGTCTCACTGCACTGCAATTCCTTGGTTTTAGACCCTCTAAGAACACACAGCTAGGAAATATATGTATGTACACACACACACACACACACCCCTGCACCCACATACATTTCCATATTTATATCCACATAGGTCGATCTCTTTTTGTAGCTGTTACATATTATACGCCATGCATTCTCACTGAAAGCTCCGATTGCAATCCAGCACCACCGAAATGTTGCCAACATTTCCCCTCAGCATGTTTGTAACTACCTTTTCTGAAAAGGAGGACACTGGCTGCCATCTTCTATAATATATTTACTTATTTGCTCAATACTAGAATTCCCACAGAATAGTTTCAGAATTGCTATCCTAAGCAAGCCTCACTCCACAGCACCAATGATTGTTTAGAATTTTATTCTTTGGCCCGAGGACATCTTGTCAAAGAATACATAGGTTAGTTCTTTCTTTAGCATCAGGTTAGTTCTTCTTTAGCACCAGCCTTATTTCCCCTCCTCAACATCTCTTTGAGACATGCCCTGAATCTTTGTTTTAGCCATCTCCAAAATAAGCTAAAGCCTCATTTTTGGTGCTCTGGTGCTGCTGCTGGAGCCAACACATGTCTCTCTGGAACACCAAGTAAATATTCAATGCATGTTTGCTCACTCCGCCTTCCTGTGAAGCTAATCCAACAAATAGATGACAGAAATATCTTCATTTCCACAAATGCGCTTGTGAGCTTATAATAAGAGTCTTATCTCCCAGGGCTATCCACATTCCCATGGCTTCTCCATTCCCCACGTTTAGATACCAAAATCTTTCTTCACTTTCAGACAAGTCTTAATTCATCTTCCCTATAAAGGCTTCGTAATACCTCTTTACCTAAACTTAGAGCATAGCCCCACAAATGCCATGTTCATAGATTTAGAAGCTCTTTTCATATTTATCAAGTTCTCACATTCTCCATCTTTCATATTTTAAAATATTTATTTAATTAAATTTATGAGCCAGAAATTGAAAAACATATGGAGTGAAGGGAAGGAAAGAAGGAAAAAAATAGCCCATTCATTCAACTTTCCCCAGCTGCCATTCCTGACTCGGGAGATTTGGCTGAGTTCTTGGGTAATGCCATGCAATAAAACTTCCATAGGGTGCCAAATTTAGGTCCAGCATGAAAAGAAAACAAAATCCCTCCTATAAGACAAACTATTCAATTTGGAAATGGGATTTTTTTTAAAGTCCTGCATTAAACCTTCATAGTGATTTTTTCCACAAGGGCGAGAATCAGCCCACCCCTTGGAAAGCTTCTGAATGGGGCAGTATAGAAAATTTTAAGAAACATTTATTGCTCTGAATGGAGAACTGTTACTTCTGGGGGCTCTGCTTTCTCCTTTTTGGATAGAATCCACTCTGCCCTATCCTGGCTGGAAGAAGAAAAGGTGTAGCGTGCAGGCAGGGAGGATGATTCCAGGTGCTGGAAACTGCACAATGGGTGCTATTCTTTGTTATTTGCAATCCATCTTTCTCAAAGTTGGCTCACAAGAAGTACATCTTCTTGGACCCTCTGGACTAACCTACCTGAGAACATGGGTGGGTGCTTTCTCAACACATATAAGGTCCAACATATGACAAGTGACAGAGTGAGATGAAGCTTTCCAAACTGGCACGAGTATTGTACAGTTTCATATATGGTCCGGTTACCTGGTTACTTATGGTCTGGTTACCTGGTTACTTTTATTGTCCTGTCTCTACCTATGTATGTATGTATCTCCACCTATGTTCTACACACACACACATACATTATATATATGTTATGTTGCGGTTATATTTTATTCTCACTTTTAAGATGGAAAGTTTTGCATTCCAGGAAACCCTCAGTCCTGAGAAGACTGGGGCATTAGATCACCCTGTGTTGCAGACTTTTTCAAATGGCAAGTATTAATTATTACTTAGATTGCACATATATTTATGCTCCAAACTAAAATGCTCTGAAACCACACCTTTAATAGTTGGAATTCCAGGCCCTCTCCATGGTTCTTTTGACCTGCTATTGCAGAGAATACTCTGTGGCTGTGAATAAATCTTGGTCAATCTTCTATAAGCAAGAAAGGAGCCTAGATGCTCCCCTCAAGATAAGACCCTGAAAGAGAATTCTGGTTGTCACCACGTGATCTGCCAGGGTTTCCTAATGGATCTGCTATTTCAAATGACGATCAACCTGATTCGGCAAAGCCAGAGGCCCCTCTCATGGCCTGTGTGCAGTGAGAAGCTCCTCTGTGTGTCACTTGAATGTCGAAGTGGCACAGCATTTATATTGAAATAGTGATAACGCTTTGCTCACAGGACACACGTGCCCATTTGGATCCAGGCAAGTTTCAGTTCAGGCAGCACACTGTTTCCACTACTTCTTTCTCATGGTGATGTACAGTCTAGTTTGTAAATCCAGACTTTCGCTTTCCTTGGAGTGAGTTCCTTCTCAGGAGTCTTGCTCTGCTGTCCTGTGGCTTATCATCAATTGGGAATACGCTAGTTTATTAGACACTGGGTGCGCAATTCTCGTACTGCCCATCTCTTCCTGTACCTATGGTTGCATGGATAAAAAGGGAAGGCAGATCACCCATGTTTACCTGCCAGGAGCACTTGAACCCCAGAAGAAAACTCGTCTATCACAGAGGGTGGGAAAGGAAGAGTTGAGGAGAAGGACTCTGCCATGGTAACTGGGCTGCAGGCCCTACGACCAGCCAAAATATTTTACGGCATGGCATTTTATAACACATCATCATTGTCTTAGTCAGTCTGGGTGACTATAACAAATTACCATAAACTGGGAGGCTTATTTCACAGTTCTGGAGACTAAAAGGCCAAGATCAAGGTGTTGGTAAATCCAATGTCTGTTGAGGGCCCACTTCCTGCTTTGTAGATGTCCGTCTTCTTGTTGTATCTTCACATGGCAGAGAACAGAGGGAGGAAGCAAGGTCTCTCACGTCTCTTTTAATAGGGCATGAATCCCATCATGAGGGCTCTATCTTCAAGACTGAGTTCCCACTTAAAGGTTCCATCTGCAAATACCGTCATCACATTGGGGATTAGAGTTTCAACATATGAATTTGGAGAGGGACGTGAACATTCAGTCCATAGCAACCATTCATGCACTGGGGCTGTGTAGGGGATAGACACTTTATTCAGCTGCAAATTCATCTTGTACAAAGTTTCTCTTCTACAATGTCATCAAGTTCTCTCATCTTTTTCTTCCCCAAACACAGTAATCTGAATGGGTTGAAACCATTTTCTGATGGAAATATACACCTTAGACCAGTGGTCCCCAACCTTTTTGGTACCAGGGACTAGTTTCATGGAAGACAATTTTTCCACAGACGGTGGGGTGGGGAATGGTTTCAGGATGATTCAAGCACGTTGCATTTGTTGTGCTCTTTATTTCTGGTATTACATTGTAATATATAATGAAATAATGGTGCAATTCATGATCATGTAGAATCAGCAGGAGCCCTGAGCTTGTTTTCCTGCAACTAGATAGTCTTATCTGGGGGTGATGGGAGGCAATGACAAATCATCAGGTATTAGACACTCATAAGAAGCGTGTGACCTGGATCCCTCCCATGCACTGTTCACAATAGGGTTTGTGCTCCTTTGAGAATCTAATGCCATCACTGATCTGACAGGAGCCAGAGCTCAGGTAGTAACGCAAGTAATGGGGAGTGGCTGTAAATTCAGATGAAGCTTTGCTTGTTTGCTGCTCACCTCTTGCTGTGCTACCCAGTTTCTAGCACACCACAGACCATTACCAGTCTGTGGTCTGGGGGTTGGGGACCCCTGCCTAAGACTATTGCTCATTGTCCTGTGCAATTCTGATACATTCCATAATGCTGGCAAATTCACCACTATTATTCTCATTATTATCAGCATTAGCAGTAGTAGTCGTATTCTCAATAGCTAACATCTGTTTAATAACTTGATGTTACTAATATTCTTTGACAATCCTGAAAAAATGGGTAATTGAGAGAATTTACATGTGATAACTTGAGATAATAATGCATTTCTAACAAGAACATGGAGCCTCAGGAGGTTCAGTAACTTCTTTAAGGTCACCCTGCTAGCAAGTGGCTATCTCCATTTTTATTAAATTCAAGAGAACCCGAAACCTCCCTGAAGTCTGCTATCTCTAGGTCATTTAAACAGAGAGACACTTGAGAGAAAGGATAAAACCCCAGAGAAAATGATGGGGAGCAGCTCCACAAATATTAGCAACTGGAGGCATCCCAAGTAAGGAGGAGTTTTGAATCCATGATAACTTTGCAGAGGATGTTGTTATAGGGAAGGTCAAAACAGAGCTGTCTGAAAGCTGTCCCCACCCACTACAGAAGCAAGAAGGCCTCCAGGCTGAAAAGATACGGGAGGCAATTCAATACAGCTGCCCTTAGCAGGATAGCACTTTGATATTCTCCTTTAAACATTTATTTTCTAATTTATTGAAAGGCGATAGTCATTGCTACACGGGGAAAGGGTGGAGGACGGTAACCCTTGCTGGATGCCTTCTACTTCTCTCCTTGCAAAATAATTTGCTGCACTTTTTCTTTGGAAAATGAATTATAGCATCAACAGATTCACCCTCCTCAGAAAGGAATTTTAGCAGTCATCAGTCCTCCAGCAGGCCCCCTGGGGGTCTCGCATTGTCTGTTTGCACCTGCAGCCCTTCCCCCAATGTGGCATGTCCTCATAATCTTTGACAACTTCATGGAATGCCCGTCCTGGGAAATCCAATTTTATCCATTTTGCTGCATTTCTGGGTGCATTTTAGCATTTCTTATGGATTAGCACTTCAAGCAGCCATTTCATAAGCGTATTCTCCATCTATCTTGGCATTTATACACAGACATCAAATTGTATTAGAATTGAAAATGGGAGGGGGAAGAAGGGAGAGGTGGAGAGTATCTGAGTAATCAATTGGGTTCTCTCCTGCCCTTAGGCTGTGTTGACACAGCTTAGCTCTCGCCTGCTCCTCCCAGACAAGCTTATCTGCTGCACACTGAACTCCATTAATCTTCTTGAAAGGCAAATGTGTTCAGGACAATGTTAACACTTAGCTCTCCTGAAAAGAAGACAGATTCTATGAGGTACAGAGTCAGGGCTCCAGGGCCTGCACTGGCAGCTCAGACAGGCCTCAGCCAGATGGATTCTGTGTGGAAAGAGAGTGGAGAGCAGAGCCATGGGCTTTGTGAACCCGAATACCAGCATCAAATCAGGTCCAACTAAACCAAACCAAACTAAGGGAAACCAAATATCAACAGAAAACAAAGCCAGCCCAAAGACAACAATGACCGAATAAATGCCTGGCCCATTTTAAGGCAGCATTAGCCAGATTTACCTTTGGGTTTCAAGCGGACAAAACAATTAAATGATCATTATTCTTTAAATTTTAACAAGTGATTGGCATTGTGTGAGGAGTCCACACAATAATAATAAATGACTTCAGAGAAAGAAGTATTGTAGAGTATGTATTTTTGGCCAGAAAGAAACCTAAAGCATTTCCCTTTGATCACTGTTGCATTCTCTGCCTTGTGGAGATCAGAGCTGCCCTCACACAGACAAGAGGATGATCCACCCGACCCTGTCCAGGAGGCCCTGCTCCAAGATGTCCCCTGACACCACACAGTCTCTGGGATCACTGGAAAGAGGAATGAATTGATATCTGTTTTCTGGGCCCCTTTGTGCTGATTCTCCCATGTCATGTCACCCCTGTCCCCCTGCCTCCTTCTTTTGTTTCAATAAGGAGATTTGATAGACCATTCTTATCACTCATAGATCTACAATCCCTGGCTGCGTCCATTTGCTAGCAACCCTGAAAGACATAGGGTAATTTTTAATGTTTCCAGGGCAGGAATTTGAATGGCCATCTAGCTCTCTCCTGCACTCTAGTATCACAGTATTCATTTATTAGATATGAACCGAATCTGGGAGGAGGGGGTTGCTTCTCAGTAGGGCTTTGTTACAAGAGCTATGGAAACAATTTAATGCAACTTCATTGACTTACATTGAGTGATTTTTTTTAAACCTGCCATATATCCATCACAGACATCCAGAACCTATTGTATGTGTAGCCCCCATCTCCATGCTCATTTTGGGTAGGAAAGTGTCTGGGTAGGAAAGCAGGGGAGACATGCCGCACTGGTGGCCAATTGGTTCACTTCTAGTGGTAAGTAATAGGAATCCCAATTTTGGCCACTTGATTTTATGTCCCCAAACCAGTTTTCCAGGATTATTTATGGCTCCATGCTTTGCACTTATAGAGTGGCCTCAGAAGACTTTTCTCCATTAACAATCCCATCAGGTGACTTTGAGAGCCACTTCCATGAGATGGCTGTGTTGACAACTCAGAGAGTTCCATCACAAGGGCTGACTCAGTCTGAAACAATGACAGCACATAGATGTAAGGCAACACGTGAAAAGCAGAGGTCAGACTTTCCAACATTGACTACTCTGGCTTTGATTACATCAGGTAGATGCGTGGCACTGAAACTGGAGAATTCCCTGATGCCCCTCACAAGACGTTCGACAGGGATGTGGGCTGCCTGTTCAGTCGCCCTGCTGCTGAAACCCCTTGTGGGAGGGAGCGCAGGCAGGCAGGCAGGTGCAGAGGCTGGAGTGAGTGCTTTGGGCTTCAGCCCCATGGTAGTGTCTAGGGATGGGTGCTGCAACCCCAGTGTTACAAAGCTCTTCCAGCTTTGCTGTCCACAGATGGCTTGAGTGTTAACCAGCTCAGTGGACCCTTTTTTTTAAACAAGGGCAGAAGGCCAGTGAGACAGCTTTCTGTATCCCAAGCTCTTGCTCAGTGTCCCAGAAAAATTGGGTCACACACGGTCTTGAAGGATGAATGTGAGGTTTTATAGAGTGGTGGAGCTGGCTTTCAGCTGGATAGATGGGAACCCAGAAGCCGGGGATGGAACGGGACAGTGATCTTCCCCTGGAGGTAGGCTGCCCAGTGGCTGGACTCCTCTCCAACCACCCCCAGCTGAACTCCTCTCGGTGCTCAGATGTTCCTCCTCTTCCTTCTTTCTCTGCCACATCATTTGGCTGTCCACCTGCTGGTCTGCTGGTTTGCTGGTCTGCTTCTGGAGCCCGGGCTTTGGGGTTTACATGGGTGCATAATAGGGGGCATGGCAGGCCAAAAGGCAACTTTTGGGGCACAAAACAGGAATGCCTGTCCTCATTTAGTGCCACGTGTCTTCAGGCCTGAGGGTGGGGCCTTTGCCAGGAACCACCCTCTTCTACCCAGTATTTCGTTCTCCCGTCCGTATCACCCCCCTTTTGCAATTGCTCATGGTTAGGCTAGCTACTGCCCTCTTGACTTAGTAAATACCCTATAGCCACTATCCCCATAGACATGGCCTGTTAATACTTTGTGTAAAAAACTTGCCTTTGTCTAATTACACACCAGATGTTATGAGGGCCCATCAGCCAATGGCTCATACACAAAGGAAGCTTTCTCTTTTTCTAACCAAGTGACTGCTTTGGCTCATAGAGAAATGAACTCTTGTCACCTGTTAACACCTTCTTTCTGCTCCTTACTAACTCTCCAAAAAAAAAAAAAAAAAAAAAAAAAAAATGTGTATCCAATTGGTGAGGGTGGGCCTGGTTACCATTAGACAGTATTGCCTGTGCTACTAAATAAGGTGACTTTTCTTCAAAAGCAAAACATTGATTCTCTAGTGTGCTTTCCTGATTTGTGGAGGACTCACTTTACTCTGGCAGGATCTTCATGTTAAGTGGACAAGCCAGGAAATCCTCCCACTTTCTTTTTTTGCTTTTCCACCAGTGCCTGGGTAAGAAAGTGGGGTGGACATGCCATACCGGGGGCCAATTAGTTCAGTTCTAAGGGTAAGTAATAGGAATCCCAATTTTGACCTCGCACTTGATGTATGTCCCCAAACCAGTTTTCCGGGAAGATTTATCATCTGGATAACAAAGCTGGTGTTTTGATCCCATTTGGCTCAAGTATTTCTGTGTATATTTGATTGGCAAAAACCCTGGAGGGAAAGAAGATGCCTTCAACCTAACCTTTACCAATGACATTAGTAACATCACTCTGACTTCACACCTGCTGCTGATGCCAGAGCGCAGCCTCTTCTCAAAGCATCCCCAAGTAGTATCCTGTGAGATACAGGTGGTGTTTCACCTGTGCTCAGAAACCAGTCCCTTTCTGCTTCAGTTTCCTCATGGCAAAGTGTTGCCCACAAGTCTTTCAAGGGAAGAGTTTCCCCATATCTGCTTCTGCAGGTGCCTCCCCTGATCCTCTGTGAGGCCACTGTGGTGCTCCCTTCTTTACGCTGCTGTTGGTTCTTGCACAGAAATGGGAAGTTTGCCCTTATGTTTATTCCGGGTAAACTTTGGCATCTGGTTTCCAAGGATCACTCCCTATGGTCCAGGTTTCATTATGGAAGATGCTTCAATCAAAAGCATCTTTAATTTCTGCTGAAATCCTCTCCTTCTATATCTGGTCAGTCTCATCATTTAGATTCTTAGGAGATCAGCAACTAACAGATTCTAGACTACTACCTTTATTTTCCATTCCCCTTCTGTGGCTATTGAAGGAGACCCTCCTCCAAATTGAGCTCTATTTGTAATTAACCCTCTAATCATGACAACCCCAAATCACTACTTCAGTTCACCAGATTTATCCTGGTTACAGATTTGATTTGTGTAAATTTGGTGGCTGTATTAAGTAGGATTAGGCCAAGTATGCTGTCGTTATAAACAATCCAAAACCACAGTTCCCATAACAACTAATTCTGGCAGAAATAGAGAAAGCAGAATTGGGAGAGCTAGAAGCTCACAAAACTGTAGAACCTCTTCTTGATCATTCAAAGGGGAATTTTCAGGCATTTTCTACTAGAGATCAGATTAGGATAAATAGACACTTGTACCATTTGAATAACATTCAAAACATACTGGGATCACAGAGATATGGAGACACCATAGATTCAAGAATATTTACATTTAGCTTATGTATGCATTTATATGCTATCTGATGCTCAAAAGAACTTGAGGTGGCTTACAGCACAAATATAAACAATAAAATAAAGACCAAATAAGAACAAAGACAAATAGAAAAGCAGAAAATCTAGACCATGACAAAGAAGAAAATTGATGTATAAAGGCCAACATAAATATAATAAAAGAGTTCACATTTACTCCTGAGTTTCTTGGCATTACAAAGCAAAAGTGACATAATCATTATTAACTAAACAAATAAAAAAGACAGCTTCAGAATGCCCATTCTTTCAGCTAAGCAAACTTGAACGAAACATAGAATTTAGAATCTCCCTTGTCAGCCAAGCTTTTGTTAGATTTTGAATAGCAAACAGTTCAAAGTTGCATTCATTGGTGAGTAGTTGGTGTTTGCAAAAGTTTTTGAGAGCAGACCTATAAGCTCCAAATCCTGACAGAAGGATAAAGTTGAGTAGCTTTCCCCAGGTCTTTTGCCTGCCATCTGCAAACCAGAGGTTTCCATACTAGGGGCTTTGGGACGGATTCCAGCACACAAAAGGTCTCAACTGATTTATCAAAGTGCTCCATTATGAAGCTTTTGCACAAGATTATTTAGAATTGAAAAATATTCCAACCAGTTGCTCAACCTGTCTCCTAAAAAAACATAATGAAAGCTTTAATAATACTACTATTTAATGACCGATGTGGGGTGTCCCAGTTCCTAGGGAATCTATCAGCTTGAAATAGCGCCGAAATATTCTCCCTCAAATCTCAAAATTAAATAATTTACTCTTCACTTGAAAGTAAGTTGATAGAAACCCGTGGAAACTTGGAAGTAGGAGCCAATTATGATAATTTCAGTTTTGAACTTGTTTTCCACATTAACTGAGGGCTAGATCTAACTGTTGAGGTCACCTCTGATTTGTAACAATGAAACAACATTATCAATGTATACAATGTATCAATGTATACTTTCTTTTCTTTATTGCATCATCATCTGCAACCTGTTCATCTAAGGATGGTTTTATTTAGTAAAATTATAAGTTAAAAATAAGAGAGACCAGAATACAATCTAGTTTAGAGCCCTCAAAAGTATTCTATAATTTGTCAGATAGTTTTACTCAACACTCATTTTTCTGAAGTGTCAAAGTGCAGGAATGCAGATTCAATATGGAAAACATAAGAGTTTATGTTATATAGTTAGCCTCATATATGGTATCTGTTACAGGTCTAATATAGATCAAAAGTCCAGAAGAGTTGGAAGTCTATGGGGTCCAGCCCTACGAGGCTTAGCAGGTGTTCTCCCAGCGTGCGGAGAGGAAAGACTGTAATAAATAAAGACACAAGACAAAGAGGTAAAGAGAAAACAGCTGGGCCCAGGGGACCACTATCATCAAGACGCGGAGACCAGTAGTGGCCCTGAATGGCTGGGCACGCTGAAATTTATTGCATACCAGACAAGGGGGCAGGGTAAGAAGGGTGAATCTTCTAAGTGATTGACAAGGTGAAGCAAGTAACGTGATGGAAGGACAGGGGGCCCTTCTCTCTTAAGTAGCCGAAGCAGAGAGAGAGAGAAGGCAGCATACATCAGTGTTTTCTCCCATGCACTCATAAGAAAGATCAAAGACTTTAAGATTTTCACTATTTCTTCTACTGTTATCTACTACCAACTTCAAAGAGGAACCAAGAGTACGGGAGGAACATGAAAGTGGACAAGGAGCATGACCACTGAAACACTGCATGACAGGGAGGGGTTTAGGCCTCTGGATGACTGTGGGCAGGCCTGGATAATATCCAGCCTTCCACAAGAAGCTGGTGGAGCAGAGTGTTCCCTGACTCCTCCAAGGAAAGGAGACTCCCTTTCACAGTCTGCTAAATAACAGGTGTCTTCCCAGACACTGGCGTTACTGCTTGACCAAGGAGCCCTCAACTGGCCCTTATGCAGATGTGACAGAAGGCTCACCTCTTGCCTTCTAGGTCACTTCTCACAACATTCCTTCAGCACCTGACCCTATACCCCCCGGTTATTCTTAGGTTATATTAGTAACGCAACAAAGAGTAATATTAAAAGCTAATGATTAATAATGTTTATAATAATGATTGATAATTATCCATGATCATCTCTATATCTAATTTGTATTATAATTATTTTTATTCTAACTATTTTCTTTATTATACTGAAACAGTTTGTGCCTTCAGTCTCTTGCCTTGGCACCTGGGTAATCCTCCACCCACAGAAGTCAACATATGTATGTTAAAGTCAACATATGAATGTTTAATTATAATAAGAATTATTGGCTGGGCATGATGGCTCACCCCTGTATTTTCAGCACTTTGGGAGGTCGAGACAGGTGGATAACTTGAGGCTGGGAGTTCGAGACCAGCCTCACCAACATGGCAAAACCCTGTCTCTACCAAATAAATACAAAAATTAGCCAGGTTCAGTGATGTGTGCCTGTAGTCTCAGCTACTGGGGAGGCTGAGGCCAGAGAATTGCTTGATCCTGGGCGGTGAAGGTTGCAGTGAGCCAAGATTGCACCACTGCACTCCAGCCTGGGCGATAGAGTGAAAGAGACTCTGTCAAAAAACAAAAACAAAAACAAAAATTATACTGACCGGAGTCAACCAATCAGAACATTTTTCAAAAAATTATGGTTTCACCTTTTGGGCAGGATGTAATAGATTATTGTTCCCACTGCCACAGTCAGACAAACCCATACAAATTATTCAAAAAGCCACAATTTTGAAGCATCAGAGATCTTTGGAAGCAATGAGAACTGGAACAACTAAAGCTACAGAGAGAGAAAACCATTTCAAGGTGATCTGATGAACATGTTATTTTTTTTTCCTCATTGGGAGCATTTGACAAATTCAGATGTGGGATAAAAATTGCCTTATCTAAGACATAGGGCACCTGCAGAAGTAAAGAGAGACAGGCAAAGCTTTTGGCAGTCACACAGACTTAAAGTTACCCATTAGAAAACTTAGAAGACTTCAAAGGCATGGCCACATGGGACATTTACCTAGTTTTGGGTGTGTAAGAAAGCCTCATGAACTAGATAGAAATCTTTAAAGCATAAAATTTTACACATGGTGCTAAGAAAGACCCATAAGAGCAGAGGGTCTGCCTTAAGACACTTCCCAAATTTAGAATTTGTGTGGAAAGTAAGGCTAAAGAGCTACACTGACAATCTGTGAAGGGAAGGACTGAATCTCCCACCATTTTCAGGACTAATGCTCTCAATCACAAAGCCATACCTGGCAAACAGAAGAAATCTTAAGAGCCATGCCTGGCAAACAGAAGAAAATCAAAGGAATGAAATCATGTTATCAATGTATACAAACATGTAAAGTTACCTTCCTTTCTTTATTGCATCAGCATCTGTAACTTGTTCATCTAAGGATGGTTTATGTAGTAAAATTATAAGCTAAAAATAAGAGAGACCTCCATGCAATCTAGTTTAGAACCTTCAAAAGCATTCTATAATTTGTCAGATAGTTTTACCCAACCCTTATTTTTATGGTAGTATTTTTATGGTAGAACTGGGTTTTACAACTGAAACCCAGCCCAGGCTTAGTTCAATTCCTGATTATATTGAAGTAATTAATGACTGACCCTTTCCCTTTCTGCCTAGCAGATCAAAGGGGACCACTCTTGGTATTGAAGTTCATCTCATTGGGAGCATCTGTGGTTCTTTTATATACAATGTACATTCTACAATAGAGGCAGACCCAGAAATAATTCAGATATTGGAGTTAGAAGATCAGGATTCTAAAATAAGTATAATTAATATTTTCAAGAAAACAAAGGAAAAGGTGGACAGAAGAGATTAAAGTGTGGATAAATTTAGTAAGCAATTTGAATCTTTTTAAAAACAGCATTAAACAGATATTCTGGAAATAAAATGTACAATGTTTGAAATTAGGAACTCGTTAAATGGACTTAGCAACAGTTAAGGTGTTTTTGATTCAACTATTTTGCTGTCTCCAAACTGAGGTACAGAGAGGGAAAAAAGTAAAAAGGAACAAAAAACTGTAAGAGGCATGCAGAACATGTCAAAAAGCCTAACATATATATGATTGGCATTTTAGAAAAAGCAAAAAGAGGAAATGGCCCAGATGCAATATTGGAAAACATAATGACTGAGGATTTTCAAAAGCTAGTGACGATCACATAGATTTACAAAGCTTAATGAAACCCAAGCAAGATAAATACAAACCAAAGCATATCCAAGCACATGATGGCCAAACAGCTGAAAAACCAAGAGCAGAGAGAACATCTCAATAGCATCCAGAGAAAAAAAGACAAGTGTTCTCAAAACAGCAACCGTAAAACTTATAACTGACTTCTCAATAGAAATGATGGAAGTCAAGAGAAAATGAAACAAGGAAACAGAGGATATAGTTAAAGTACTGAAAGAAGGAAATACAAAACATAATTCTAGACCCAGTGAAAAGACACATTAAACTGAAAGAAAAATATATTTCAGGAAAAGAAATAGTAGAATTTGTCATGACCAAGCATGCCGTACAGGAAAGACCAAAAAACGTTCTTTAGGAAAAAAATCACTCCAGAAGAAAACATGAAAATGTAGGAAAGAATAAAAAACACTGGAAAAGATAACTATGTGGGCAAATATTAAATTCATATTGATTCTTCAAAACAATAATTGCAATATTTTGTCATTTCAAATACAGTTGACCCTTGAACAACACAGGTTTGAACTGTGAAAATTCACTTATACATGGATTTTCTTCTGCCTCTGCCACTCTTGAGACAGCAAGACCAACCCTTTCGCTTCCTCTTCTTCCTTAATCTATTCAGTGCAAAGGTGATGAGGATGAAGAACTTCATGATGATCCACTTACACTTAATCAATGGTAAATATAGTTTTTTTTCCTTAGAATTTTCTTAATAACGTTTCCTTTTCCCTAGCTTAATCTATTGGAAGAACACAGTATATAACACACAGCATATAAAATATGTGTTAATCAACTGTTTATATTATTGGTAATGCTTCCAGTCAACAGTGAACTATTAGTAGTTAAGTTTCCAGGAAGTCAAAAATCATACACATATGATTTTTGGCTGCACAAGGTATCAGTGTCTCTAGTCCCTGCATTGTCCAAGGTTCAACTATATACATAAAACTAAAATTGATGACAAACGTAATGCATTGCAAAGGGAAGTAAGTAGAATTAAAAGGTTCTAGCACTGTGGAGAAAGTGGTAAAAGTGCTAGTCTGTTTTGACCATCATAAATCAAGGCTATATGTCATAATCTCCAGGAAAATCACTAAAATATAGTTTAAAAAATGTTCATAGAAGAAAAAGTGGAATAATAAAAAAATGTTATTAATCCATTATACGTCAAAAAAGGATTAAAAAAGATAAAGGAAAACAGGTGAGCCAAAGAGCAAACAAATAATAGAAGGTCAGATATATACATGATTGCAATCTGATACATGATTGTACTAGTAATTACATTAAATACTGGCTATATTCTCCAAGTAAAAGATTAAGATTGTCAGACTAGATAACACAATGTGGATTTGCAAGTTGTTTATTTTTAGCTACAAGAACTACAAGGACTATTGGGTCCTAACCTTAGAAGGTCTGAGTTCCACCATATTTGACATAGTTGATCTAGAATTACTAAGTTGGGAGGGGAACTATAACTATTCAAGTCCAGGAAAATGATATTGATCTAAGCCAGATTTAGTAAATATTTAAAAGTTCTGAGATGCTCGATTATATCTAGTTTGTATGGCTTTAAAATTTAATCTAATTTAGTATAATGTTTTATAAACAGAGGAATTAAGAATTCAAAACTTTTAGGTAAATCGTGCTATCTTCTGGGAAATTAGACTCACTGCAAGTTTATTAAACGAAGGTATGTCCATACCAATCCCCCAAAATGAAAAACTGCAGTGAGAAAAGCATTTTCTCTCTCCCTCCATCTCTCAGAAGACTTGAGAGTGAGGATGAAGCCACTGAGTGCCTCCCTGGCTGTCTGGTCGGAAACCTCTGCAGCCAGGACAAAATCCTCTCAAGACATTCCTTTAATTATGACTTTAAATGAGAGGCTGGAGAACGAAGGCCGCAAACATTGTTGGGTGTTAAACTCAACGAAAAGCCCAGTTTCTGTCTCAGAGAAAACTAAACGATTGTGTCATGTCTCATGAAATAGCCTCTAGGTAGTAAAATGACTAGGGTAGAGAATGAGGGAAGAAGCCTGCCCCTTCTAAAAATGTCCAGAATCTTGATGAATATGAGCCTAAGGAATTAAAGAGGACTGAAAAGGGCATTTCTTTTCCTCCTGGCAGCTCCTCAACGCTAGAGTTCCACAAAAAAATCACAAAGGAGCTGTTTTTCTGAGTGTGTCAGGTGTGGCTCCTTACATGGAAATGACTGTGTCAGTAAGACTGGATTATTCTGGTTTCAATGGCTGCATTTATTATCTGAAATCTGAGCATTGCATCACATGAGAATTATTTTATTGTATGCTAATTTATTGAAAATCAGTAATCCCTGTAACATAAAAACCATATGGTTTTATCTTTATTTGGTTATTCAGGGAACACACCAAAATCTTGGCATGCCTCACAGACGTCATTCTGAACAATAGTTATCAACAGCACCAAGAAGGAAAATGTGATTAGTTAGGCTTTCAAAACCTCCAGATTAATGAATGCTGGATGAGCATGGATTAATCAGAGTTTATTCAAAAGTTACTGAATATCTACATATGCCATATACATCTACCTCAATTATTTCTTTTAAACTTTATAGCCATTAGGTACATTCTGTTATTCCAGTTTTACCAAAGAAGTAATTGAAATTCTAATAAGTTACACTATCTCTTTGAGGGCACAGAGCTAGTAATAAGGGTTTGGACCAGGACTTCTGAATCTAAGTCTAATATTCTTTCTACCACTCCTCTTGTTTGTCCACAATCTTTATATTTGTTATCACTGATAACCATAAATAACAGCAATGATAATCCAGAGAGTGGTACTTCTACACGTCTTTCTAATCTCTGCCAGGTGATTTCATTCTATAAGTGGATTTCTCTGAAATTCTTGAAAATAAAATCTGAAATGCCAAAATGAGCTTACAAGATGTAAATTCATTACAACACTGTAATGAGTTTACAAGATAATAGTATAATGACAAAGTTGGGTGAAGATGGGGCTTTGAGGCCAGGCATGGTGTTGGCTCATGCCTGTAATCCCAGCACTTTGAGAGGCTGAGGTGGGTGGATAACCTGAGGTCAGGAGTTCAAGACCAGCCTAACCGACATGGAGAAAATCCGTCTCTACTGAAAATACAAAAAATTAGCCAGGCGTGGTGCCATATGCCTGTAATCTCAGCTACCGGGGAGGCTGAGGCAGGACAATTGCTTGAACCCAGGAGGTGGAGGTTGCGGTGAGCCAAGATGATGCCATTGCACTCCAGCCTGGGCAACAAAAGTGAAACTCCATCTCAAAAAAAAAAAAAAAGATGGGCCTTGAATTTAGGCTTTCATACGGCAAGAAAGTCTGCTTTAGTTTTCTTGATTCTTTCTAAATTTCATTGACTAGAAATTTACTTGGGGGGAAGGCCAGGAAGTATACAAATGTGTTTTGGTCCATGGGGCAGTGTGGGTGATAATCATGTGACTTCACTCATGTGTAGGTGTCAGTGTGAGTCTCTGGATACTTAACAAGATCATCAATTTAGACCCACATGTCCAAGGGCAGATGGTCCTGATGGCTAAGGAAAAAGACAACTGGAAAAACAAATTGGAACTGCTGAAGGAAAGATGGCTCAAGGCTCAGCACTTCCTGTAAAGTGGCAAGTGAATTTAGCATTCGTGAAAATTTCCAGTGCTGTTTGGCATCTAGAGGGACCCAGGGAGAGCATTCTGCTTGCCTGTGCCACCTCCGTGCTCTGGCTGGGGCATGAATTGCCCTCTGACTCTGACCTGGCACAGCACTGCCCCGTGTTGAGGTCCATGCCCCTTTGTCCTCATCTGCTCTGCTCAGAGGTGCCCCTTCTGTGCTGCTCCTAAGGGTGCCTGCCAACTATGCTGCCAGGAAATGCGGGCACTGAACAGAGTTGGTTCAGAAAGACGGGAAAGCAGAAAGCAGAGAAAGAGCCCATGCCCTTGAGGACAGAGAGCAAGGGAAGAGCGTGGGCAGAATGGAGTTGATAGATGGGAGCCCAGCAAAGCTAACACGCCCTCCTCACCTCTTCAAGCCACTGGCAACACCTATATTGGGTACTGGTCTTTCCCGGGTTTTCCTCAACGCTATCTAATCATATAACTCAAAGGTTCTCAGGGACCAACTGATTAAATCTCATTTAATTGAAGAGAAAAACAGACTCAGAGAAGTGAGATTCCTGTGGTCATCCTGAATTAGCCAAGGCCTGGGAATCAGGATGTGAGTCTAGTCCTTCCATATGCCAGTAGTTTTGCTACATTATTCTGACTAGGCTGAACTGTTTTGCCAAGAACATCCCAACTCCTAGCTACTCACTGTCCCTTACACCCTCTCTACTTATTCTTAATTCTTCTTAGTTCCTGAGTCCAAGCTTCACTCAGTTTACCCCTTCCTTCCACAAACATTGTCCTTGAGCACCTTGATGGAACAGGCACACAGTGAACCAAGTCCCTGCTCACCTTCTAGTAGTGGAATGTATGTTCTCCTAGAGCCAACATGTCAGGGGGTTTCTTCAACATCTAACTCCATTCATTCACTTACTTTACAGTTTCCAAAAACCATCTGCATTTTTAATTTTAACTGAACACTTTAATTTCCTTCTCTTCCCATTCAAATCTCCCAATACTAAATGATTTAAGTATTATTTGAAGTGACAATTCTATTCACTCTCATAAGACTTTGAGTGCTTTGGTGAAAACCCCACAATGACCTCAGGCCTGATTAGCCTAAGGAAAGGAGGTTACTACCTTTTCCCAGTTTTTAAGCCCAAAACAGCAGGGATGGGGGGTACATGTTGAACCAGCTGTATGAGAAGCAAGTATGAATGGAACATGTACATGCAGGACAGAAAATGTGTAATGGTTGGGCTGGGTGGCTGTGGCAAGTTTCTAGAGACATTCCTACTGACAGCTAGATATGCAGAAATCAGGCTGAGGTCCACAGATGGACAGAACCACCAGGGAAGGAAGCACAGCCCCAAAAGGCATAAACCAAGGCTCGTTCTGGCAAATGAGAACTCCTGAGGCACCCAGGCTTCTTTCCACAAATCTCAAGCAGTGGAATATGCGTGTTCATTTGTTCTACGTAATAGTGGGTTATCTAAATCTGTTGTCTCTTTCCTTCTTTTAAAAATTATTTGTTTTGTGTTCTTTTCTTCTCAGAAAACCAAAAGAACCTGCCTTACTATGCACCTATGGCCCATCAAAGGCGAGAGTAGAATCTGCCATGATTTAGAAGCAAACAAGAAAAAGTACACGTCAGGTGAGTAGCTGCTAGCTAAGAACTTGGGCGTTGGGGTCAGACAGGCCTGGGTTTAAATCCTGGCCCTGTCATTCTGGGGAAACATGTTTTTGCTTTCTCCTCTATGAAATAGAGGCAGTGGGTATCCTGAACACGTCACCTTTACTTGTCCAGCTCATCAGTCAGGGTTTGGTCAGAGAACTGCTGTAAACATTATGGGAATAAGGGATTTTATTCAGAATTAGAGCCTGCACAGATGTAGAAGGAGGCATGAAGCGGGTGTTGGAGGATTGGTCACTATGTAGTCTACATCCTAAGTCTGTGCTAAGGCTGGACACATTCCAGTTTGCAGGAGAATTGGAGAAACGAAGCAACACAGCGATGGAAGTGAGACTACTGAAGGTAAGCTTGGGAGGGGGTCCTCGACACCACCATATCAGCGGATCCACAGCTAAGTGATTGGTGGTGGCCTGGGGTGCTGCTCTTTAGCAGGGATAAGAGTGGAGCACACAAGCTGGACTCGGAACAAACTGGGAGCATCTGCATCCAACCATGACGGTCTGGCCGTGACAGTGGTTAGAGAGGAGTGGCTTCTGTGAAACTCTCACAGTCTCAAGTCTCCCACAAATCCCTCTTTCAGCTAACTCTAATCTTGTACCATAGAGGAAATGGATTCTGAAAACTTGGTCTCCAACCTTAGACAAATTGAATAATATGTCCTCTCCTGCTTCTTCTGTAACTGAATTTGCATTGGAAAGCAGGCCTGTCACTCTCAGACTTTGTGGTTTGAGTAGGGCTCACTTCAGCACCACCTTTTCCTCCTCTTAGTGCCAGGGACTGGCATGAGACTCGGGCCTGGCCAACTGATTGTCACACACCTATGACCATCAGTTGGCTCAAAGATGAACTCAGGACACCATCACAGTCAATGAGACCCTGTTAGGGAAATTTGTCAGAACCATACAAAGAAATAGCTCCACTTTTCCATAGAGATGAGACATAAGCCTGGACTAACTGGTGTCCAACTTTCCATCAAGAGAGACTCTCTAAGAAGATAGAGGAAAACTGGGGAAAGCGAAGTCTAAGGCAGGCAAGTAAGGGCAAGTCCAGTTGACATCATATGAATCACCTGAACCTAGAAAACAAGGCATACCTGGATTCAAGGCCAAGAAAAATTGGCAGCTGGCTTGAATCAGGTTCTATCACTTGCAGTTGAAAAGGTCCAGACTAATCCGATAGAGTTAACAGAGGAGCAAGTAAGCAAGATTCTCCCCTACAGTAAGTGCTCAATGCATGTCAACTGGTATTATTATTATACAGCCTTCCATTTCTAGCCCTTTTATTTCTACCACCTCTCTTCTGTGTTTTATGTAAAGTGCATTAAGGATTGTTCTGTTTGGAGACATCAAACCATATAAAATGACACCAGTAGGTCCCTTTCTGTCAGTGTCCACAAGCTCAACAATCAGGATCAGCAGACAAAAACAGCTAAGCTGGAGTCAGCGTTTTTATGAAGAAACAGGAAAAGAGCTTACTTAGGAATTGTAGCTCATCCTCCAATATTCTCCACTCTTTTCATGACAGTGTCTTCTTGGCCCTGAAGATGCCTCTTCATGACTCCCTGCCTCTGTCCTTTCTTCATCTCACTTACATATTCCAACAAGGAGTACAGCAAGCCTTGGAATGAGGACCTCCAAAGGTCCTCAGTATCCTTAGGACACTCTGAGTGCAGAACTGGAGGGACTGAGAGGAGGAGCTTTTGCAGGTTAAATGACTAGTAAATGGCCTTTCTTTATATTTCCACTAGAAATGAGATTAGCTACACTTGAGAAGGAATGACTTTGGAACAACTGATCCCTAGCTTTCTTTGAGATGCAGGGAGTAGTAACCACCTAGTTAATCAGTGAAAGCATATTTATAAAGTTCACAGGGTACCTAGCATATAGCAGCTGTTCTCTATCTCAATTGAGTTTTGACTAGGAAATGGGCTTAGGATAAAACACATGGGCTTTCGAGTAATCATTTGTAAGTAATTGTAGATAGTGACCACAGTTTAATAGCATAGATATATTATGAAAAGTCACTGAAATACCTTCTCTGGAAAATGTTAGAAACTCAAGTAGAATGGCTTAGTTAAAGGCGAGAGGGGGAGAAACTTGAAAAATGCGGTCCAGTACAAGAATACCCCATTTCCCCCCCAAGGTAATGAATCCCTTTTCATGCATCTAGTGACATGAAGTAATAATAGTTATTTATACAGGAACAATTTAGGAGACTTAGAATATTCACTTCTTTTGCCTTCTAGCTAAGCATCAAGATTCTCTCTGTGTCTCTGTCTCTCTCTCTCTCTCTCTCCATTTTCCACTTCTAGCTCCAACTATTTTAAATCCCTCCCCCAATAGAGCCCATAACAAACATAAAACAACATTTGTTTTATGTTTACAGTAGATGTTCAAGCTAATATTTGTGTAGGTATAGCCCCAGCATTAAATTAAGGTTTGGTTCACCAACAGGGTGCCTAGAGACTTCACCTCTATTTCCATGAGGGACCAAACAGCCTCTTGAGAAGGGACTCATCAAAATGGAAGAGTTGGCAATAAGAAGTTTGGCTCAATAACTAAGCACAGAAGTTGCAGAGGAGAAAGGATTTGTAGGGCAGTACAACGTTCAGGGGCAAGTTGGCAGTTTTTAGCAAGAGCTGAAGTGATGCCAGCAGAGGTAACACTGCTCAGAGGGACCAGTGGTCCCCAGGAGGAGCAGGGGAATCCCCAGTGGATCTGATTTGTTTGAGAGCACCTGTGAGATTATCAGCTGGCGTTACAATTTTGGAGTGGCAGTGAGAAGCAGTGAATTTGAGGTCACTCAATTTGCAGACCCCAATGGGTGAAATGTTGAGAAACATAGGTTACATATGTATTTGACAACTCTTGTGTATTATCACAAATCCTATTTCACCTCTCATGCCCCCGAGGCTTTGGTGTCCAGTTCCCTGAAGACTTCATCAATCCTCAGTCACAAATCACCTGACAGCCACTCACCTTGCTCCATACTATGAAGCTCCCTGATGTCACAACATGGCAGGCCTGTGGCAACCCCTCAGCACTTATGCATGATCCCAAACAGCTAGAGGATTAACACCTACAGTGTAACCCTTGAGCAGCAGGAAATGGAAATTACTGTCTTTTTGTCCCCCCAGGGGAACAGTTCTAAAATGCATTTTATAAAGCTTCTGAAATAGTTCCACAGGTCAAGCACCTACTTGCTCCAGTGGTGACCAACTCAATGGTGCATCCTTGGGTTGACTCTCCCTCGTTTCCAGTTCACTTTCCCTGCCCTTCACTTCTGCACCTCAGCATCACATTCCTGAATAAACCACTCACACATCTTTCTTATTTCAGACTCTGTTTGTGGGAATCCACAATACAAATTTGTCATTTTGAGTTAAACATTGTTCTCACCTTGAAGACATATTTCCATACCTAGAGATTTCTGACGTTCTCTCCCTTTTCCTACCATCTCCTTTGTGCTTTGTCTGACCTCCATATTCCAGAGCCCCATGACATTTAGAGCCAGTACTGCTAGGGAAATAGTTCAGTTGTGTTTTAAATGGTTCAGCAACTTGTAACATCAACTGAGAACCAGGGGAATACACTCGGAGGCCAAGAAAAAAAATGTTAGTTAATATGTACCATAGAGTATGATTCCTTGGGTAAGGGAAAGTTTATGCAAGTGACAGAGGAAAATTGAAAGTTGTAGCCCTTTTTTCAGAATTTATATTTGGAATTAAAGTTTCTCTTCTCTTGAAAGACCTTCTTTCTGTGATGAATCTGAAGCCCGGAACAGAAAGACCTTCTTTTTGTGATGAATCTGAAGCCCGGAACAGTTGGCCAATTTGCCCTAGTTGAGAGTGGCGAATAAATAAAGAGCTGAAGAATGTGTCTCTAACTAGTGCTCCTTGGTTGAGAAGATACAAAAAAAATTGAAGGGTACGGATGAATCCACTGGCTTTTTCACATCTCTGTTGATCATAATGAGATTAATATATATAGGACATTCACACAAAGGGGATATTGACTCGATGGCTTACAGATTATTAGAGTTAGAAATGTTACCTACTACGAAAGGAAGAACGTTTCAGGTGTGGATCTCTGATTTAAAAAATACGCCACACTTGCCTCAGTGAAGCCAGTCAACTTAGGTGCTGACACAATGCCACTGCAGATGCAGATGTACTGAGTTCATGAAATCAGATCCCACTCTCTCCACCTACCCCTACTGTATTCATCCTACTTTCCATCTGTTCTGCCCTTCCCATTTGGTAACCTACTCATGAAACACCTGGCTCTGGGTCCTTCAGCATCATTCCATGTTTTACTGCTAGCATCACTTTTCTTGGCACAGAACCTCTTAGGGCTGCTATCCTAGGAGTAGGTGCCACTCAGGCTGGCTTAGTCCCAGGCTTCACTCACTTCTTGGCCCTGGAGGACCAGAAAGAACAAACTCTCTGCACAACATCTCTGCATGTGACCACAGAGCCCCCATCTGAGCCTTGCTGGTAGAGAAGAACATGCTGCCTCACAAGATAACTGTGTGGCTCTGTTCAAAAACTTAGAAGTTATTTCTTTTATTGCATTAGAATTTGCCTCCCTGTAGCTTTTGTGCCTCTGTCCTGGTTCAGCCTTAGATAGCAGTGCAGCCTGGTCCATGTGAAAGCTCTTGCAATAGGCATTTCTGCTAGTCAGGAGTTCTCGGACCCATCTCTACTCTTCACTTTTCTCAAGACTAATATCAGACTCCTGGGTTCAAGGAGTCTTCAAGGTTTCCTCATACCATAAAAGTTCTAAGCCCTCCATTGTCATAGTCACTGTCCTCTCTGTTCTATCCCTGTCTGCCCTTCCAAGATGCTGCACCCAGAGATTTTGTCCTTCCTGGGGCAAGTCACCATGAGATGTTTACTTTTGGATCATACTGACTTTGTGGGTTAAATAAACTCATAGGTCTCTGTCTCATGAACTAAATCCAAATTCCATCTCTTGCCATAAATCATTTTTTGAATAGTTGAACAGTAAGTAAATAATACACAAATGAATACTAATCAATATTTGAACATCCTCAATATTTTCAGCCCTAGTTTGAGCCAGAGATAGCTTATCTTGTGTACTTCACTAAGGACACTTTATATTATCAAGCAATTAATATTATGATGATGTTATGATGTCATATCTCAACAAGCCCCACAGTATCACTTCCAGTCTCTTCACCACAAAGAACCCTGAAGCCTTCATATTTTTCTGAAAATTGTATTTCTAGCCACAGGATGGGATGTAAGAAAAGTTCAGATTAGGATTATTCTAGGCTCCTGACTATATCTAAAATCCTGATTTTTATGGAAAGGAATAGGGATCATTCCTTCAAATTAGATATTTGTGATAAAAAGAAAAAAGTTGGTAATCTATTCAAATTTTTAACAAACAGAACTGCATTTTCTTTGGAAAATAATAGTTGAACCCTTTTCTTATATATGAATTGGGGTGCAATAGAGTTTAATAAAAATGATGGGGAACACTCTTACAGAGCTAATTTATCACATTTCCTTCAAGGAATTGTTCTTTCTAACGAAATTGTGAAATGGAACTCAACGATAGCATGATGGGGCCTCTACCAGGAGGAGGTACAGAACAAGGCAGGAGGTCAGTGGTTAAAGGACTCCATGCTTATGCTCAAGAAATGTGGATCTTATTAGAGGTGACATATGAACGGTGCAAGGTGCCTCGATGGCCTTCATGGGGTCATGAAAAGCTGTGAGAACACTGTGGAGGAAGAATGCAAATCCACAATATTAGGATGAATGTGAGAGGAGAAGGGAAGGAGGCCATGAGGGAAAAAATGACATCTAATTGGATCTGAAAGGGAAGGTAGAATTAAAGAACACTATGAACATATGGGAATACCATGTACTTTCTCATGGAGAGAGGCCTTCCGAGAGTTCTGCACTGATACCTCTTTTTTGGCCATCCCTTGTTAGCCAGCAGGTCATTTGCCCTCATTAGTTGCCTCAGTGCTGAGTGGTAGACTCAGCAGTCCCCAACCTCTTTGGCACTAGGGACTGGTTTCATGGAAGGTAATTTTTCCATGGATCAGAGAGGGGATGGTTTCAGGTTGATTCAAGTGCATTACATTTATTGCACACTTTATTTCTAATACTATTACATTGTAATATACAATGATATAATTATACAACTCACCATAATGTAGACTCAGTGGTTGCCCTGAGCTTGTTTTCCTGCAACTAGATGGTCTCATCTGGGGGTGATGGAAGACAGTGACAGACCATCAGGCATTAGATTCTCATAAGGCATACACAACCTAGATTCTTCACGTGGGCAGTTTACAATGAGGTTCACGCTCCTATGAGAATCTAATGCCTCTGCTAAAATGACAGGAGATGGGGCTTAGGTAGTAACGAGAGTGATGGGGAGCAGCTGTCAATACAGATGAGGCTTTGCTTGCTTGCTTGCTGCTCCCTACCTGCTGTGCTGCCTTGTTCCTAACTGGTACTGGTCAGTGGCCTGGGGTTGGGAACTCCTGGTAGACTAACAACAGAACAAAGCCAAGTCTCAAGGAGAGAGAGTTGTGTAGATGCCTGCCTGCCCAGTCTCTGTTGTGGGGGCCAAATCACCCAAGACCTGCATTTAATTCCTTATGGGCTTAGGCTGTGAATTCATGTAAAATCTCAAGAAACCAAGATGACAGGCCAGGGACTAAAGAGCAAAAGACCATAGCTATGGTAGGGGAGGAGACAAAGTCAATCCCACGTGGACAGATGGTGATGATGCTTATCAGTTCTGTTCTGTCATCCCATAAAGGTAAAAACTTGTGTTCTTTTTCCTAGCACAGTCCAGATGGTATTGGCTGTGATTAAAGAAAATTCAGACATGTGTGGGTGTGGCTGCAATAGACATTCATGAGGGCTTTCGTTTTTATTTGAAAGGGGCAGAGTAAGTATTTGTGAACACTGGATGACAATGAAGAAAAAGAAATGGTATCTAGTATCCTACCTGGCCTCATGGACCGTAGCTAGAGGGGTTAGAGGCAAAGTCAAAGGAAGCTGCCACCGTAAAGGGCTCTGTGAATGCTGTTTAGGTTGAAATGTGTGACAAAGCACTGGGAAGCGTTTCACTGCATTAGCTCAGGCCATAGCACGACCCTTAGCCAACACCTTAAGGTGATGGTCCCCTTGGCATAAGTATTGGTGTTAAAATCGAGGTTAACCTTAGGAATAGTGTGGTTAAGATTCCCCTACGTGACTTTGGAAGTTGAAGACTGATCAGGAGAACTACAGCAGGAAAGAGAAAATATGACTGAGGCTAAGTGGTGACTTGATATTGACTGATAGCTGAACACAGGAATGAATTTCAGCAAGAACCCCAATAAATGTCTGGGGAGTAGAGACCGTGTATGAGCAGGACAGAAAAAAAAAAACAAAAAAAAAAAAACAGAAGATTCAGGTAGTGCCCTGTCGTGTGTCTCTTTTACAGTCGTGAAATGAATGACTTTCAGTGTTTTCATTGAGCACCAATCAATTCCATCTTTGCAAAAGACCATATTGGAACAGCATCAAGGTTTAGGGATATTCAAGCAATACAATGACACTGGAATGACCACTGAGAACCAGCAAACTTCTTCAGCCCTTTTATCCTCAGGCACTCTGGAAGCCATGAATCTGGTTTACTTGCTGAACTGTGTGTACTGCACAGAGTACAATGGTAAAACAACAAAGATTGGCTCTAAAATCTCTTGTAAAGGGAAGAGTGGTCATCCCTTTAGATGGCAAATTGAGTTTCTATAATGGGGTTTGCTCTGATGTCGAATTTCCACTCAGGCAACAAGACATTCTGTTGTTTAAAGCCCTAGATGGGTGATGTTTCTTTCACATGCAAGGCCTGAATGCTTCATTGAGCTCTCTTTTATCCACACACGCTCATTTAAACCTTTGTCAAAACTATCCTTTAGCATTTGCATCTCCTGTGCAGGCAGAAGGGTCAATGGGGATAATCAGGAGAGATGAGGTGCACTTTCAGAAGCTAGAGCTGAGAAGGTGATGGAAGTATCTGTAAAGTCGTTGAACAGCTGCACAGACTATAGGGGAAGAATTTCAGGAAGCAAAAGGGGAATAGCCCTTTCCTCTTAAACCAAAGCAGAGCACAGCTCCAGAGGCACTTATATGGAGAGTTCAATGGAATGTGAGCTCTAAGAGTGGTTGAGAATCTGACAAAAACAGCCATCTGCCAACCCAAAATTAAAACTCCTCTGTTTAGCACCCAGTAGAGAAAGTCAACCAGATTGATTTCCCAAACAAAGGACCTTAAAAGCATCACCTAAGAAAGTGTGTCAGGATCCACAGACATCCAGAGCATTCTCTATGGTTCATTACTTACATTATTCCTGTCTATTTACACATAATGTTTAGATGTAAAATCCTTACAATGAAAAGGGTGTATATGCTTTTAAAAAAGGCACAACAGAGAAGAGTTGAGCAGGTGGTGTGCTGGCTCACAGATGGCCTTGAAAAAGAGGGTAATCCTAAGAATTAGAATGAGTTGGTGGTAGTTAAATAGAAAAGAACACAGCAAACTGCATGCCAGAGGCCTGCCAGTAGTTGAACTGTCTTGACCAACAACGGGCATGTGTGTGTGCTTTCTAATATAAATCTCTGCCATAGTCCAGGCCAGAGGTAATAAGCAATGGAATAAGGCAGTAGGAACAAAAAGTAAAAGACAGTGAGATGCAAAACCAACTTGGGTCTAGGAACAAGACCTTATCCATTTCAGAATCTA